TATATATATACCCATTTTTAAATCCACATTCTGTTGATGAACAGCTTCTATGAACATTCTTGTACTTTTTTTTGTGGATATATGCTTTCACTTTGCAGACAGCAAATACCTGAGTGAAATTCATGGGTCATATGGGAGGTCTAAGCTTAGATATATTAAAAAATTGCCAGATATTTTCCCAGTGATGCTCAATTTTATATTTCCTACAAAATATGACAGTTCCAGTTGTTTCCTTTGCCTGTGTAATCCCAGGCCTCACTTGGGGTTGCCAGTCTTTTATTTTTAGCTACTCTGGTTATTTTTAGCTATTTTATTTTCAGTAATATTCTGGTTTGAATTTGTCTTTCCCTGATGACTAATATAACGCTATTGGCCTTTTGTAGAACTTCTTTATGAAGAATCTTTTCAAATCTTTTGAACTCTTCTAAACTGGGTTGTCTCAAAAAAATAAAAAAAAACAACACTGCTCTGTCGATCTTGATACACGCTAGACACGGGCTCCTTGTCAGGTATGTTGTTGCGAATATTGTTTTGAGGTCTGCGGCTTGCCTTTGCATGTCCTCAGTGTAGTACTTTGATGAGACAGTTTAAATTTTAATTAAGTCTAATATATTACTTTCAAAGACCTAAGAAATCTTTGCCTGTACTCAAGCTGTGAAGGTATTCTCCTGTTCTCTTTTAGAAGCTTTTGACTTTTCCATTTACATTTAGGTCTGAGATCCATTAGGAGGTTCAGTCAATCCCATGTGGATATCCAGTTGCTCCAGCCCTATCAGTTAAGAAGAATTTCTTTCCCCATGGGACTGGTTTTAGCATCTTTATCAAAACAGTCCACATGAACGTGGACTGATTTCCAAGCTCTCCTTCTATTTTCCTTCTCTTTCCCTTCTTCCCTCCCTCCCTTTTCTTTCTAGCTATTGGGGATGAGCTGAAGGTTTCTGCAGTAAGCTAATCCCCTTTTTCATATTTTTATTTTTAGGCAAGAGTTTTGTTAAATCACTATACTGCCGAGGCTGCACTGGAACTTGCGACCCTCTTGTCTTAGCTTCTCGGAGTGTTGGGATTAAAAGCACATACTGTCATGCCCGGCTAATTTCTTTCTTTTTTTTAAAGTTATTTTATTTTTTTATTTTTTATG